CCTGCTCACCTTTCCACTGCTGCCCCCTCTCGCTTCCCTTCATCGATTAAGTACACATATTCCACTCTTTCCATCTGTCCGTCCATGGCTCTTGTTGTCTTTGTGAGATTTCCTCTCAAAATGAGAAAAAAAATAACATTGGGACACACACGCGCACACACTTCCCATTCATCAAGTCGCATCCTGATCTATTATTTTCAAATCTTCAGCGAGGCACATCCAAACTACTATTTTTAGTCGTTGCCCACAGTTTGAGCTTTTCAATATTGCTGGATGTATACAATTTAAACTCTATTCTTTTCCATCATTCAATCTTCCATGACTCTGTTTACTAATCTTGACTTGCAGTAAAATCTAATTCCTAAATCCTCAAGATTAGAAGACACTGATGATAGAAAAAAATGAAAGGTCAATATCCTGTTGAACTCCTGTTAATCCTGTTATGTGTTTCCGTTCTATTTATGGTGAGGATTTGGCAGACAATCTCCAAAATCAAGGCGGCAGCTTAGCTGCTCACCCAGACATTAAGTAGGAGCCCTAATTTTCAAAGGACCACAATGGAACATGATGAACCTCACGTGGTCTCACAGGTCTGCCCATGCTGGCTCCAAACCCCCTCTACAATCAGGGGAAACAGCCCAGAGATGAAGACGGCCAGGCAGAGCAGAAGTGACAAGAACTGGGACGTCAAATGTTGCAGGCTGTTTATTCTGTACAGCCTCCAAAAAATGTGAGACGTCGAGGTAACGGGTGAGACTGAGGCGCTGTTGTAACAGGAGAAGGCAGCTAGGAGGGATGGGAAATGGGTTGGAGTAGGAGTGATGGAAGGAGAGGAGGTGAAAAGCAGAGTGTTAATGATCTGACTAAGAGGCGGGACGTGTTGAGGAAAAGGTGGAAGTAAGTAGGCATTTTCACATGTCTACCTACCTTCAGCCTTTTTTTTTTTTTTTTGCTTGACTTCTTCTATGTTTGTTTATGGCACACAATCACTTTGATGAGCTCATTCATAGTGTCACAACATTACAGCCATCTGGAGTTGCATTGATCATACACCGGTTTCTTATTTTGCTGATGAGTTGTAATTTTAGCAGCTGATCCCTTATTCTGTTGTACATCCCAAATATTTTCATTATGGCTAAGATGAACTTATGCCAATATGGAGTACACCCGTACCGTCAAGGAAGGAGAAAATCTATTGACGGAAAAACCTTGCCATTCGCTATGTATCCAAGTGGTCAACTGACCTCATTTTTTGGGCACATGTTACTTAATTTGGATCTGACCGAACAAGAGAGTCCTCGTTGTTTTTCAGCTGGCTACACATCTTTTTATCCAGCTATTCTGGATTTTGTGTGTGTGTATGTGTGTGCCTGTATGTGTGTAGAATCAATCTTACATTTTACAATTAAGTATAGTTTTGCATTCTGCTGTTAATTTTCTTTCATTTGATTTAATCAAATGCTCTATTGAGCTTTCATGAGGTTGATGTTTTACTGCTGTGCTTCCAGGTTTTAATCATGCATTGGACACATCACAACCCCAGAGTCATTAGTTTCAGGAATCTCTTTTCTTGTATTGGTTGCATGAAGGGGACTATTATTTGACCTATCTGTAACAGAGTAACATATTTTCCACCACCACAGGATGCATCTTTCGCTATAGTTCTAACAAGTTGCTCATGCATCAGTTAACAATAATTAACCAACACATCAATCACTGTGAGGTGTTTTCAATTGAAGGCTTTCATCCATTTGCTTAATCAAATACAAGCCATCCATTATGACCAAACAGTTCATCTTCACTTACTACTGTGACGTCTTCAAGGAAAGTAACAAAAGTAGTAATTACGGGGTACCTCAAGTTGGGTGGGCCACAAGAAAAACTCCAAGCAAGGAACTATGAAAAAAAAAGGGATGAAGGAAAGAGGCAAGGAAGAAAAATAGGAAACTAACATAAAGGGATGGCAAGAAAGATGAGTAAATGCACAGCAGTGTGAAGTGAAATCTGCAATTTTCAAATTAATGAACAGGAAAAAGATAATAGAGTACAACGCATGCTGCAGGGGGAATGAAACGGTGAGAAAACTGAGCCGGGCATGAGAGGAGTGGACAGCTTTAGGCACGTTGGCCCTGACCAAGAGGGCTTTCATTGCAAGGTGCTGATTGTGGTGTTGAGCCCTTGAGCCAGGAGCCTTTTACCTCAACAACAATGGCTAACAGCCACATTAACGGATAACACGGGAGGGAAATTATAATCTTCACCGCTTCAGACACTGACATCTGGAGTCAGAGACCTGACTCAGGACTCATGACATGGACTTGGTGTTGAAAGCTGAGCAGTGTGAAGGTGAGCCCTTTGGGGGTGGGGTAGGGTCAGCTGTGCGGGCGAACTGCGGTGAAAGTATCACAGTGACAATCCGCTGATTGAGGAGCTTCTCTTATTCCTAACCAGCTCCCCCGGGACTCGTTTAACTGCAGTGCAAGCTTCTTCTATTTTTTTGTGAATCACCTGCCCTGTAACGCGTGTCACCGCTCATTACTGACGAGACTCGCTGTGATGCCGTCCCCGGGGGTCTCAGAGGGGGGCCTGTGTGTCTCTTCCAGTTGGGTTACAACCCTTGTGGTTAACACATTGACTCACGAGCACATGTGTGTGTCTTCCACCTGTGTGGGAGCCTTCAGTATCATTCCTGAATGTGTGTGCATGTGGTGACATTTGTGTTTGCGTGCCCCTGCAATACCTCAGATACCTAGACAAACAAGACTCCTTTTCTCAGAGTAGGTGTTCAATAATTAGATGATTTGTGTCTCATATCTAAGGAAGTCTGATAACTAAGTGTCTGTGAAGGAGATGCGCGTGTTTGCAAATAGATGGAGAGCCAGAGATGCGGCGAGCAGAGTGCTCTGTGTGTGACTGTGCTTTCTGCTGCGAATGTGCTCCAGATACTGCAGCTGATGGCTATCTATCGGAGAGAGTTCTATTGATTTGGCTGGGGTAAATAATTGGTTGGGTCTACAGGCTGTCATGTTCGGCCTGATTGCTGAGCATTGGTGGTCTTGAACACTTATCTTCCAATATACCCCTCTCTGATCCATTCGCACCCTCCTTAGTCTGTCTCTGCATGTACTGATTAGGTAGCTATATGTTGATTTTCCATCCTGAAAATATGGATGATAATCCCCGTTCCAAAGCACCATGTTACACTTCATCTGCTCTCTACTTGTTGTTTTTGTGCAAGGGAAAGGGCAGACACAATTTGGGGAGGAGAATACAGAATGAGGACATTTGAAAGGGTCAGACCAGATGTAACACAGGCTTGCACGGTCTGCCCTACTTTTTCTTCACAGTAGGCTACAGTTTCTGCAGGATGAGGAAGACTGTGATTTTTGGTGTGTCTCAGCTACGGTCTGCGGCAAATCGTCTCACTCAGTTTAAAAGAGGGACTGTTCTAAACATGTGTGCCTCTGCCCCTCCGTGATTAACATGCCAAAGTGTGATCAGATTTAGCGCCAAATCATAAGTAAAAAGAAAAACATCCTGAGATTGACCAAACCAATCAGACGGCTGGCTCTGTGGGCTGCATCCTGCCCATTGGGAGGGCTGGGTGTCAAGTTTAGGAGGCCCCAGGAAAACATGCAGCCTCCTCTGGGAGGGTTACTGAACTGTAGCGATGAGAAGGCCATTAGCGACCCCGCTTGAGTGGCTTGGAGAACTACAACCCCCACTGAGCCAAGAACAAGAGGGTTTATTATCCCCGCATACCCACAAAGCTTCCCTTTGAATGTATGGCAAAACGCCTCATTTACTGCAACTGGTGGGTTTCCGTTCATCTTAAAACGTGTACCAAGACTAACACTGCATCCACGTAATCCCTGCCAAACTCCAGAAGAGGATTTAGTGATATGTAATTATGGCTTTGTAAAGCATAAATGGAGCCATTCAGGCTTCTTAAATTAGTAGCAAACAGATAGGCTTTAGTGCATCTTTACATTCGGTTTGACGTTTAAGAAAACCCAACTGATGTGAAACACGTCATGCACTGATCACAAACCGCCACATTTTGTTCACGTATTCTACTTGGAAAGCATTCCAGCCATTTGAGAATAGAAATGGTCGCGCGTAAAATGGCAAAGGTTTCGGTCCGCTTTCCAAATCTTTTGGAGAGGCAGCGCAGCACTCTGGGGCTGCTTCCAACGCGAGGCTGGCTGGAAGTTTCGGGAAAGCCAGAGCTGGAATAAAGTCGTGGAATAAAGTTGAGGGGGGGAGAGGATGAACTTCCTCCGTGGGACGCCACGTCTGCGCGCAAACCCAGTCCCACTTCCTCTGCGGCACAGCTGGAAGCACCGGCGGAGACACGCTCGAACTAACTGACGGTAAATTGAAACAAATCGGCCTTTCTCTGTGTGTCCTCTCTGTTCGTCTTCAGGAGGTTTTCGTAAACCAAAACGGAGTGGGCTGAGCTCGACGGCAGATGTTTCCCGTCGCTCCTGTCAGCGTGTCCTCACAATCAATGACTATTTTGGTTGATTTATTTATGCTTTTATTTTTGGTTTGTCAAGGCGAGATGGATGAACGTGTTTCAGTGTATCCCTTTCACCCACTTCAGTCTGAAAAAAAAAAAAAGCTTTCTTGCGACTCCATCGAAGTTAATTGTCACACAGATACTTACACAGCGGGTGAGATAATTATCAAGCGGGGAGGAATTTAGAAAAATCAACTTTGCTGCTGTGGCTCCGGAGTTTGCACAAATGGGCGTTTTTACTGCAGAGAGGGAACCCTCCGGCAGTTTATGAGGCTTATTTCTCTTAGATTTGAACGGTGCAGAATCAGTATGGGAACCCATTGCAGAAAATCAAGTCGGTGTGTGTGAAGAATGGAGCTCTTTGCTTGCATTGTAAAGCACGGGGATGCATTCTCCTCATTCCTCATGTCATGCACACTCAGGCTAGTCCAAACAAATCTTCACGTTGCCTCTCTCTGTGCTCTCCTTCAGGTCTACCATGTTGGCCAGACTGCTTTTCTGTCTCCTAATTTCTCACCCATTTTTTCTGCTGCATGCCAGCGCCCCTAATTCCACGAAAAGCCCTGCTGCCACAGCCAGCCCTGCACCCCGCCCGCCCCCTCCTCTGCGTGACCCCAGCTGGGCCCTGGGTCTGCGCCTGTACCGGGCCGTCCGTTCTGACTCAGGCCCGGTGAACACCCTCTTCTCCCCTCTTCTCTGTGCCTCCTCTCTCGGAGCCCTGGGCGAAGGCTCTGAGGGTAAGACTGCCGCCCAGATCCAGGAGCTCCTCAAGCTGCCATCGCCCTCCAAAGACGGAGTGCATGTAGGCCAGCTTCTTTCGGGGGCGCTTAAGAGCTTCACCGATGCTAATGGGACCAGCTTTCATTTGCACACCTCCTCAGCCGTGTTCACAAAGCAGCCTCCTGCAGTCAGCCCCACCTTTGCAAAAGAGAGCCAAAGCAGGTTCAGACTGCAGCACCGGACGCTGGGGAAAGGAGACTCAAATGCTGACCTGAAGCAGCTCCGCGACTGGGCTAAGGCTGCCCTCAATGGGCCGGAGGGGGCTCCTTTGGAGGCAGAAATCCGGGCTAAAGCTGGAGCCCTGATCCTGGGAAATGCTCTCCACTTTAAAGGTTTGTAGCAGCAGTTTAAAAGTATTCTGAGATACTGTGTGTCAGAGGAATCCAATGAGCATAACTTAGTGGATGTAGACTCCTAAAAAAAGCCGCATTTTAGGAGAGTGTGAGATCAATCGAAATTACCCAATCTGTCCATATTTGGATGACAAATTCTCAAATGTGAATCTGGCAGGCACCGTTCTCTGTGTTCAGACCGCACCATAGCCACTGCAGGTTATGTGCCAGCGCGGCCACCTGTGTGCAGAGTGCATGTCTGCGTGTGTGCACACATGCCACGGACTCCAGCTGGTGAACGCAGCAGATAAAGGATGATTCCGGGGTCTATCACTGAGAGCTTATTCATCTTCCATTGGGGGGTGATGTGTCATCTTAAATAATTGAGTAACAAGTGTCCAGACTCTCTCCCTCGGTGTCGTGCCTAACATCTGTGCTCGGAGCACTCCAAACTCTGCAGCGGCACAGCTTGGCTCAGCCCCGCTCTTTGTGGCAGGCGGCTGCGGTGTGGGAAGTTGTCAGTGTTTTGCTACGGATGCAGTCAGCAGCTCCATCTGTGATTTAACGGTCAAATCCCTGAGACATATCCATCTAATCCTCATCAGAAGCTTCTTGTAGCAGCATAAATATATCCTTAGATAACAAAAATTCCTTTTTAGGAAGGCCAGTGTTTGTTCACTTCAGCTTCCAATTTGCCTTCGAAATGCCTCATATCCCCATGTTCATGATAATTTTCCAGGAATATAATTTTCCATCTCCCCCTGTCTCAGAGCACAGTCATCGTTTATATGCCTGTTGACGCAGGATCAGCTCTGTTTGCTGTCTCCACAAAGGACTGCTGTGTGTTAAATTTATCCTCCTCGTTCTCTTGTTGTTTCGGTGGCATTTCTCCGTCTTTTTGCTTTTGTCTTTGTTTATCACATGTCTTATCTACCCCTGTCTCCTCCTCTTCCCACCTGCCTGCCGTTCACAGCCTTATCTGTGTCTATCTTCCTCTACCCCTTCTATTCCGCCCGCAGGTATTCTTTTTATTAGGCCGATGAAGGCGGTATAGCTGAAGTGAAAACAGGTGGAAAAAAGATAGACAGCCCTGAGTAAAAACATATTCTGACAGACAATGCCATGATAAGCAATTTAATTAATTTTCTTTGTTTAATGTTTTGACTCTATTATGAAATTGGGTTTTCTGTCAGCCGACCCTCATTGTTTTATTCATTAATTTTGTGGAGGAAATACACAAATTAGATTATTCACAAGATCGCATGGTGCAAATTAGGTTACAGAAAATTGGATTTCTCAGTTTTGATACACAATTTAAAAGTGGTCGATAGTTGGTTGTCAGTCCTACTCACTGCCTCTGATTTGTGGTCAATTTTGTGCTTTGTTCAACTAAATGTTTCTAAAGCATGCGATAATGCATTGTTTTCTGAGATGGTGCCAGAATTTCTTTGGCAATATGCAGACATTCTGTTAAGGCTGCGCTTCTCTGTTTGTTTCACTCCCTCTCTCTTTAGTTAATTATTGTGGGTGGACTGGGAGGGGGACCTAAAATAAAAAGCTGTTTGCCATACCTCCGTCTCTTCTCTGTATGCAACTTTCAACAAAAGGGAAGGTCAGAACCAATTAGTAGTGGAACATGTTTGTTGTGAAGAGACAATAAAAGCAAAGAGGGAAAAACAGGGCAAAAGAGCAGGGCAGGAAAAAAATGTGTTTTTAAAAGGAGCAATGTCTGGATTGGAAGCAGACAGAAAATTAGGGTAAAAGAGATGGGGATTAAATAAAAGAAAAGCAAAGGAAGAGAGAGGGTGGCCTGCTGAGTGAGCAGAATAGATTGACAGACTTATTGGGGAGGGAGAATGAGGGGTGTAAAGGCCTGCTTTAGGGATTTCCAGTCCACACTGGTTAATTAATTCAGGCTTTGTTTTGTTTTCGAGAAACACTGGTGAAGGAGGGAGAAAATAATATTGTGAAAAGAACAGGAGCAGAAGGGGAAAAGTTGCATAGTTTACTGCAATTTAACCTCTAATAGCTGCCTCTGAAATACCACACTGTTTGTAATCAAAGGCCTAAGATGGAGGAGAGCGGGTCTCATTGATTCTTCCCCGAGTTTTGCTTGAGTTTCTAGCATGACTCTGGATATGCATGAGCAAGGCATTTCTGAGCTGAGCTCTTGGATCCCCTTTTATGCTGGCGCTATTTTGCCTCCACAACAAGGCAGAGCAGAGCAAACCCACGGATTCTGCAGCTGGTTGAGGTGATTACATGAGCTTGATTTGCAGCCACTCTGTGGAGAACATGGCTGCCACATCAGGTAACCTTCAGCCAGTTGTTTTTGAATTCCAGCGGGGTTGTATTTCTTCCAGGAGGCAGTGTGAATGTCTGTGACGTTGACTCGCGCGTTGTTTGGCTGTGATTTGTGGTGGCGGCTGTCCAAAAGAGTCAAAGCGTTTTTTGTTGTTTTTTTTCCTTTGGAAAGGCCACTGCTGCTGAAACAGTTAGTCCATTAATCCATCAAGAGAGACCGAAATGGTGCGTAGTTTGAGAATTACTGAAAAGAGTAGAAGAATAAAAGAGCAGAATCACACCATATTAGGGACTGTCAGTCACTCTGAAGAGTTGTACATATTCCTGACTGGATTTTTCCGCTATGAGGGAAAATCAATGTTAATGATGATAGCTAATAGAGTTGAGAGACTTAGAAAGCACTCGCGGTTCAGAAAAAATGCTAACTATTTTAGACCTCACTGCAGCCATTAAACTTCTAGCCCCACTGGATGAATGCAGAGGACTTTGCTGCATCCTAAACATTTCCATTAACACCATCAGAAGCTGTCTCTGTGAAGCACTAATGAGCAGATGACAACAGAGTCAAAGCACTCATGGATTCAAATTAAATCTGTCTTTTTGAGCGATCAGTCTGCTTCAATGCATCCCTTTTATTTGACCTGAAAAATGAAATAAAAGGGATGCAAAATAATGGTCAGAGGGAAAATTCTTTCTGCTGGTTTTTGGACAGTCAGCTGGGAAATGGTCAACTTAGGGATGTAGTGTAGTTTAGTGTAATTCCCATAGCTGTTGTTCAAGGTATACAGAGGTTAGCATTTAATAATGCATTTAAGATATAATTAGTGCCCACCTCATCTTTTCAAGTGTTGCTTTTAAGCAGCCAGACTTTCCGTAGTTGTAATATTTTCAATAGGTTCTCTGGCTTTCTGAATGTCTTTCTAAGGTTTTCTTTGGCCATCAGATGCTTTTTAAGTTCAGTCCTTGTATCCGGGCGTTTTCAAAAGAATATGTTGGTATATACACTTTCTATTGATTTATGAATATTTCTGCCATAAGAAGGCAAACACAAAGAACCGTCCTTTATTCCCATTTCATTCAACGATAAAAAATACCAACAATAAGTAGCATTTTTTTCACTGCTCATTTTCCCAAAATAATTAAAGTAAATCCAATCGAGTTGGAATCAAAAGATGTAGAGAATTTTAATTTTTTTTTAAAGACTGGAACACACACCGTTGATGCTGTCATGAGTGACAAAGTGAAAGAAATTCATTTTCTCTTTTCATTCTCTTGCCATAGACAGCCAAAAGTGGTATAGAACTCTCCATTGTCCCCTGAAAGTGTGGCAACTCGTAGCTGTCACTTGTGGTCTTTGGATCTTATTGGTACTTCAGATCCGATCAATAATCAACAATATGAACAAAAGATGCACTTTTTTCAGTCAGCGTATTTGATAAAAAGACCTAAAAGTTTGATGTTGGCAAGATAGGCATTTCTTTATTATTCTTTGACCTCTTTGTTCCTGAGCATTGTGTTGAGAGCGGTGATTTTTCCAAACGATTAATCATTAATGACCCACCATCATTAGTTAGAGCCAGAGCCTTATACGCCCTTCACAAAGAGTCATCATCTGCCGACCTCCACGCTCCATCCACTGTTCCCCACCATGCCGAATGAAGCAGCACTTTTGAGAATGGGAGGTTATTATAACAGTAATTCCACTGCTTTCAGTCCCTCTTAAACTGACGGCTGTCAGGGGGGTTTGGCAGGGCCAAGTAGGACATGTTGAATGGCGAAAGGTTCATTGCAGACTTCAAGATAGTATAACTGCCTCAGTCTAATTCAGCAGCTTTTGGAGGAGCTTACATTTTTTAAGTATTTTAAATCATTCATGCTAAGTATGTGTATGCATCTGTGTATGCTTGTATGGGTTTTATGGATGTATTACTTAGCTTTGTCATAATTTTTCACCTCTTTCAGTCAATGATTATGGGGCCACTGTCTGCATAGATCAGTAATTTAGTATTTAAGATGTGTCTGTGTTTAGGACTATGGGAGAGAGCTTTCAGCGAGGAGAGCCAGGATCGCCGCATCTTCTTGGGAAGGAAATATACCAAAGTGGTGATGATGCACAGAGCAGGTAAAAAAGAAAAGCCAACACAGTCTGTTGCTTTAGCATTCCTGCCAGCAAATAAATGCAGTGAAAAGGACTCTGAAAATGCCCGAACATGTGTAGGGTCCAATCTTTTTCCCTCATATTAATCACTGTCTACCTCATGGTTTATTGAGCAGGCTTCAGCTTTATGTAATGCCTTCAGACGAACACGGCAGAGTGAATTTCTGCCCTGAAAGTTGGACAAGAGATGCTTTATTTTCATCACAGTGTTATTTATGATGCCATTTTCAATTCAGGAGAAGGCTAGCTGCTGCGATGTGCTGTCATGTGGCTGCAGTTTACACTGGCTTTGAATCTGCAGCTAAACATGGACTGTTGTTTCCTGCCCCAGTTGAGATGATTTGGGCAGGGAGAACTCATGCGTCGCAGGATGATTGCCGTGACACAGCTGAAAAAACAGAGGGTTGGCGCGCACGAGATTTGCTGTAGAGATCTGCCACGCCATTGCACGAAAAAGTCAAATGTTCCCCTCACCTACGCTGCTCTTTCCTCAGGTCTGTGTCTGCTCCTCTGCTGTCTCCTCCTACAGGCTTGTACCGTTTCTACGAGGACGTTGACAACATGGTGCAAGTTCTGGAGGCACCTCTGAGGGGAGGTAGAGCCAGCGTTGTGCTCCTGCTGCCCTTTCATGTTGAAAGTCTGGCCAGGCTGGAGAAGCTGCTGACCCTGGAGCTGCTGTCAGAGTGGCTGGAGAAGACTAGTCGTACAAGCGTGGCCGTCTCGATGCCTAAGGCAAACATCACGAGCACGCTTAGTCTGCAGGTCAGTAGAGCAAATATTGTTTCTTTAGATAGAAAAAAGACAAAAATGGCCAGCCCAATGTCAGCTTGAAATCTTATGCATTATTTGTGGTTTGACGGATACAAATAAAACATTTTTTTAAGAATAAGAATTAGGTCTTTTTTTGTATTTGTTCAAACAGAAAAGGAGTTCGGGCGATATAGAAAACAACTAAAAACGTAGTCTGACATTTATATAGTAGGAATGTGCGTATTTAAACTTATGACTCTTCAATTTCATTTCCCTTGTTAATAAAGCTGTTTCCAGGCCTGTTTTAAGAGGAAAGAGGATTTCTGTTTTATTATTGAAAGATATAAATCAAAGAGAGATAAAGAGATTGCTCAAACATTGCATCAGGAACTGTCATTTCTCAGAAGCTCATACATCTGCATGGTCAAGGAGCTGCTGAGTTATCTAAAAGTGGTCCTGAAAATTTACTGTGCAAAAAGCCTCATGTTGACCTTTTCCAGAGCCAATGAAAACTTCTCTGACAGTCTCTATGATCTTAGCTTTGATTAAACTAATGCTTTGAATTAGAGATGTTTTAAAAAGTACTCTCCTTGGGCCGCAGTCGTAGCCTAATGGTTAGAGTGGGCGGCCCATATGCAGACCCTCTGCTCGCAAGCGGGCGGCCTGGGTTCGAATCCAGCCCATGGCCCTTTCCCACAGGTCTCCCCCTCTCTATCTCTGCCCCCTTTCCTGTCAAGCTAGTGTCATTAAAAGCCACAAAAGCCAACAAAATCTTTAAAAAAAAATAAAGTACTCTCCTTATTGTTAATGTTCTCTGAAATGTAAGAATAGATGTGTACAACAAAAGATCCAATTTGCAAAACATAATGAATGTTTGGTTCATCCTGCGAAAAAGAAAGAATCGCAGTGTTTTCTTTAATTTCATTTCCAGGAACTTTCCAGCTTTCACTCATTTGCAGTTTTATGTTTCACCTTCCATGGTCACAGAAACTCAAGTGATTTATTCAGTAAAATATCCAACTTGTCTTTGATCCAGGTAATACTTTCAAATTGTGTGTTTGTTTTCCGGAAACAGAGAAGATTCCTGAATCAATGCTCATGATTTGTTGTACAGCTCAGCTCTGAAATGTAAGAGTGTAAATGTGAATGGAGCTTGAAAGTGAAGGGGAGAGGTGGTCGCTGACTTTTCTAATACTGGGATTTGACAAAGTGGATCCTGTGCTGCCTCAGATTCATTTTCCTTTTTCATTCATCTCTTGTATCCGCGCACTGCATCATTTTTCAGCTCACCTTGTACACTCTCCTATAACAAGCCAGTCGCGTTCTCACTGGTTCTTCTCCTTCTTCGTCCCCCCCTCTTTTCTGGTCTGTATTAATCTTTTCTTCCCTGTGAACATTTTTTCTCTCTATTCATACAGGTATGATCTTCCTCCTCATTGCTTTGATCAGGTCATTTTTCTCTGACCTGGTGCCTCTTATGTTGTGCCGTGTTTCTTGGTTGTGTCGTGTTCTCTCTGACCCGTGTTCCATGTCTAGCTTTCTGTCTGCTACTTCTGCTGCCACTATTAGATGTCTGAGTAACTGCTTCAGCAACCTAGCGTGCCCCTTGTAGGTCAGTGCAGATTCTGACTCAGTGGAATTCAAACGTTGCTCATTCCCACTCCTCTTCTTCCCTCGAAGAGTGGACATCCAGCTGCACGAAGAACATCCCATAGCTTTTATCAATGAATTCAACTCTGCATGGTAGAATACTCTGAGGTTCCTGAGGGGGACTATGAACTGTGACCCCTCAATGGGGTCCGGGGGGCCACCCCACAGAGCTGCTTTTGCAGGAGCACAAAGGTCACGCCTCGGCCCTGCGAGTCGTCTGGCTCTGTGCTCCTGTCTCCGCCAGAGCCAGCAGGTAGCTCGTCTGAGCCCGAAGATAAGAGACCCAAAGCAGCACCAGGCAGACATGCAGCAGCTTAGTGGCAGCTAATGCTAATGTGAGACCACCAAGTTCATTAAGGTTCACACAGGCCAATGAGAAGGCTATGTTAAACTGTTGACTGGAGGATCTGAGCACTGCATGGCTGGTAGAAGAGCATTAGAAAAGAACAGGTCCTGCTCTAATGGCAAGAGAACACAGGATGTAGATTCATGCGCTGCTTCTCACTTATGAGTATAACCTGCTCAGAGGATCATGGTAGAAAGAATGTCTTAGTTCTACACATTAGCTTTCTTCATTCGATCCATTTTTTCCACAAAAAAAACGCCACACTTCTTTTTTGCTTCATTTTGCATACAGCTGATAGCTGTTACAGTGTTGCATAACACGCAAGAAAAATTCATTTTGAAAAGCCTCTTGGAAAAAAACTCAGCTGAACTGGCTTTTTGTTTTGCAGGCAGAGATAGAAATTGTGGCTTCATGTGTCTTCAAGTCTGGAAATAGTGTGTACATATGTTGTTGAAATGGTTGACTATATGAGGAGGAAAAGAGGATATTTCCCATCTTCATATTTAGTTGTTTTGAAATAGTCTCTATGTCTATAAAGTTTCCAACTTGATTCCAAGTTTTCCGAGAAGGATGCTGAACAGTTGCCGGTGACACAACAGTTGTAAATGAGCTAGTCAGACAGAGTAAGCAGAAAAGAGAGATTGAGAAGTTAGCTGGACCTGACGGATACAGAGCGCATGCCAGTAAAACCCATTTCCTCAGGGCTGGGTACACTGACTGGAACCTATTACCATGTCGTCTTCATACGCATGTTGTAACCTCATCATGGACAAATGAAATCTACTTTGCCCCCTTTCCAGTTTGACAAACATCTCTGTAGAGCTATGCTGCCATGTTGGTCTGCCAGCCATGCCCTGAAGAACAAGCTTTTGACATTAACATTGTCAGGACGCTCTGGGGAGAAGGCTGTAATCTAGTACTAAAGCTTGGAACAACTCCTTTTGACACGGCTATGGCTCCGACTGAGAAAGAGCAGAAAACACGCTGTTGCACAAATCCTCTTTTGTTCTGCGTAAGAAATTGCCAGAGCAAAGAAAGAAGGTCCCTTTTGTAAATAGCTCAAAGTAGTTGTACATCGTTTCCATCTAGCAATCAAATTTCAGATAAGAACATAACTCTTTTGGCCCCTGATTGTCTGACTCAAGACGAGCTGTCTCTTTTGGTTTGCTCTCTGAAAAGAAGAATCACATTTAGCAAATCTTTATGATGGTGGCAAAACCTCGAGTGAACCCTGTGCCCACTCTGATCTCCGCTGTCGGGGCAGCCCCTTGTGTTAGTGACAGCTTGCCATGTGTTTTCTAACGGTCATTTTTGCAATTGGGTCAAATAGGCAATGGGCAAATAATTGCTCATCACCGTGCCTTAATACTGTTTACCACTCTGGTCTGTCAGTGCTGGGGACAACCAGAGACTCCTGAGATTAAAGAGCTGCATCTGGACAACCAGATGATCATAGTATTGTGTGTGTGCGTGTGTGTGTGTGTGTGTGTGTGTGTGTTAGCTTGCACTTTAGAGTCATGTTAAGCAAATTTGTCACATCCAGTGAACCCACTTCCTCAACTCTGTCCTTTCCGTCATATCACTCGCGGGGATCTAAATCCTTTTTTGTCGGTCTCACGTGTGCCTGTAATACTCAATCCCTTAGTAAGTGTGCCTCAGTCCTGCTGACCTAAACAGAAGTGACATTCGGCAGGAAAGTGAGCCGGAGAGGTGGAGGAGGATGGGAGGGTGGGAAGGGTCAATGATTGCTTGGGGACAAAGGGGAAAGTGTAAGAAAAGCCTATAAATAGCCTTCAGAATTTGGCTTTCTTTTTTTAGTTTCCATCTCTTGCAGTGTTTTCCTCTAAAGGTCCCATGGTGTCAGGGTCTGTAGCCAGAGATGGAGAGCCCACTTAACAAGCCCAGACCAGAGGTCACCCATAAACCACCTCTTTCTGATCCTCCGCTGGCCAGGCCACACGTGCGTACAAGCACACACCCATACACACTAATAGCCAGGCCTGAGATCTGCTCTGCCTGTATCTCCAGTTGGTGACTAAGACAGATGAGCATGCACCAGAGAGCTCATTCAATCATGGCTAATGAGGTCAAAAGGGCATCAAATATTTACAAGAGTGCACTCCACAATGTACAGTGTCGAGGGGCAGCTGTTTTAACACAGCTACCATTGCTCCGCATCATATGAATTAATCACAGGTGTTTCATGGCTGTTTGTTTAACATCCCACTAAAAGCCCGGGCTTCTTTTTCGTCTGTATTTTTTGGTAAATGGAATTAAAAGAATGAGACAGACAGAGGATACTGACCATGCAACAGAGGTAAAAGCCCATGTAGTTAAACAAGCAGGGGAAAAAAGCTGACGAGGCTCAATAAAAAGATGGAGAGGCTTTGAAGTCTTAAGGGAGCTGAATGTGGAAGAGAAGGAAAGAGGTTTTTGTTTATTTCTTGTTTCTCTCTCTCTCTGTCTCTCTCTTGAGCCTGCATCAAATATGTGCATGAAATGGAGCTGTGATGATGCCACTACATGCTTGAAACCACCCACGCAGAGTGTTGGGGGCAGCGGTGAATTAAGCAGAACATGTCTATTTGTTAAAGGTGCCCGCAGCTCAAAAGAGCCATTTTAGGAGCCTTGTTGGTAAACCAGAAAGAAGAGGAGGTAAGGCAATTTTCATCCCTAGTTTGTTATCGTGATTGGGGTGATTATTATCTTGATGGAGGCGCCATGATGGATTTGACCTGATTTGTTCCAGTCTGGGTCAGTTGGTTTTTCTCCAAGTGAACGCACTTTAGATATTAAAGCATACCAAGTGTGACAGGAGTGAGATGTTGTAAGATGTTGTCCTTCAGATGAAATTTGATGTCCAGTGTTCAACAAATGATTTTTTCTAGTTAAGCTTTTGTTTGGCGCTGTAATCTTTATTACAGGTGATGAGGAAGAAAGACAAAGGAAACAAGGAGGGAAAGACATGGATGACTTGTAAAAGATTGGAAACAAATAGTGTTTCATTTTTAACCCTATGATGATGGGAACCCTCTATCAGCGCCACATTCTGATGAATGTTTTTACATCCCAACCCCACACCTGCACGCACGTGCACCGTGATGGCTGTACTAACGGTGGCAGATGACACTGTCCTTATATAGGGCTGGCTTAATGAAAAGTCACAGTGACCATATAAAGAGGTATGAGGGGGCTCGTGTTCGACTTCAGCCTTTTCCCTGCTGTTCTTTGGTTTTAATTCTTTATTTCTCAATAGATGGATATTCTTGGTTAAGGTGATTAATTTGGGCATGTGCATTTTCAATGAGAAATACTGGGGATTATTAAGGCTTCCGGCTATAATCTGTCAGTTTTTGGTAAAAATGTGTGCCTGGTGCTGGACACAGGTGATATCACATGCATGGTATTGGTAGACTTCCAGCATGCTGTCTGTACCTGCCAGAGTTGGCACAAGACATTATTAGATCCACTCAGATCTTTATGAAAACTGGGTAGTAGCTCGCAGTGCTATTGCCAGGTTTACCAGTCCTGGCAAGAGAGAAGGCAAAGTTCAGATGCCTAATTGTGCTCTTGATTTCTTTGAAGCTGCTGTTGTTCGCACAGACCCTTAACTTTAATCAAATGAAGGATCAGCCTCAAGTTCATATCTAAGTTAATTTCTTTCAAAGCCAAATGATGATAATATCCTACTATCAATTTTAAGGCACATCTTGATTATAAACAAAGTGTCTTATAAAACCCACTGAGTATGTTTCCATTAAATAGACACACAGCTAAATCTATCAGGAAGTCTTGTAATTAATTTCCTACAATGAAATGTGCAACAGCAGCTGGGTTTTGTTGTCGATCACATTTTGGAATAATACTGGCTAATTAATCTGCAGATTTTTTACTCAGCGGCACAATTCAGTTGCTCCAAGTAAAGTTTGTGTTCCCTCTCTTTTGTCCTTTCTCCATATCATCCTTTCCCTCCACACTTTGCTACAAACCATGGGTTTCTCACTGTCTTTTCCCCTCCTGCTGAGCCTGAAGCAGCTGTCAGACACACTGCCTGGCTTCCTCATTGAAACAGCAGTTATCAAAGCACATACAGGATGGAAACACCAATTTGCTGAAGATTCAGTCTTTGAAACCATAAGAATCGCTGTTAGGTATTAGTTTGTCACCTAAGGGTTTTTAATGATCAATCAGCTATTATTGTAAGGACCCTGACAGCAGCCCTGAAACATCCTCAAACCAGAGTGGAATTTATAAATAGTTTTTCTTTGAGCGCTGTCTCTGTGGATATGAAACCAGCTGTCAAGACGTTGGCCGTACTGAAATGTATACTGTAAATTACTGTAGTAATCACTGTTTAAAGACAAATCTCTGTGAAGCTGGAGACACCGATCAATGAAAAATCATCTCTCATGCGGCGATTTTCTCCGCTGATGGAACGATTGTTCTTTGAATTTCTGCTGTGAAACTGAAACGATTTTAGAATTGAAAAACCTGACTAACGCACAGCCTCTGAATTCTCACACTATCACATGAATGTAAAAAATGCATGTAAAATGGACAGAAAAATTAATATTTACGGGCAGAAAAATGTATTCAACATAGACACATTTCTTTAAATAATTTTAAAAAAAGGATAAAAGCTTAACACATAACTTAACTACCTGTGTTTGTTAAGCTTCTATCCTATCACTTTAGGTAACATGTAGTTGTATATGATTAAAGTTATACAATGAATTGAAAAAAATATTTATGTTGAATAAATTATGAATGAATAAATGAATATGTTGACATTTCTATAAACAATTTTGAATCTTATGGTCCACATTTATATCTCTGATCATTAAAAATGCAGGACCTGTATCAAGTCTGACCATGATGATTCTTCTTCAGGCTGCAACTTGAGAGGTTTATCCATTATGACATTGTTGCTGTGTGAGCACTTAGTAGCACCTGTCGTTTTGCATATGTGCGACACAAAAGTCAAGAAGGTCAAGTCAGCTTGTGTTTGTGTCTGGCAGATTAATATTTTGTCTAGGAACAATTCTTCTGGCATTCTGCATGGAAAAAATCAGGAATGGGGGCTGGTGAGATAAATGGGATTCATGAGATTAAAGATTATACCGTAGATTTTTTTGGCACCTATGGCTTGATTTTTAAAAATTAGGTTGCGGTTATTATGTTAACATGTATTTTTATCGAGTAGTAAAAATGACAAACCTGAAAAGCATTTCTCCCAGAATATGTGTGCCAGACCTGGAGTACATTTTTATTTTAAACTTAAGGTCTGGCACACATAGTATGCTGGGAGAAATGTGCACTCTTTATTTCCAGTCCCATTGCTAAATGCACATGTTTTTAGCTCACAAGTAGCATAATTCTAGAAAAAGACTAAATCTTTATTATAGAAAATATAATACAAATCAATTAAACACAAAGTATTCTGTTTAGAATGTATCCGCTCACAACACATCCATACTTCTCATTTCTATGACCTAAGTAGCTGCATTTACCTTTTCCTTTTCTGTTTTTATATCCAATTAACAAATACTGTGCTGTTTATCAGAGTCATGCAACAAAGTCTTGGTCGCCTATAGCCTATTCCAGATCAAGTGCCACGTAGTTCTGGTTTGTTCTTGTTTGCATGTGTTTGGCTCTATTGTTGTACCATTTTCCTATCGCCAACTATTTTGCTTGTTTATTTTATCCATGTTTGTTTGACTTTTCTCTAAAAATTGAGGCAAGAATTATCAGGAGATTCTGTTTTTGATAGATGTCAATTCCTGTTTTGTACAGGGACTGTAAAGTTGGAGTTCTTGAAGGGATTAACTTGAAAGCAAAAACATTTAATTGTACTATTGGGATACTGTCAGTGGCTCCACTGCTGCTCCAAAAACAATAAGTGTAAAATGCGGTTTGTAGATATAAAACACCAGAAAAGACAATGAAGGACAATCAGAGGAAATAGTTAAACCAGTAAATGCTGTGAAACACACAAACCAACAGGGCGTTTCAGCCTCTGTGCCTTTATCCCTGCTTTTTGTTGTGAGGATTAGTTATTATTTGTCTCTCCTAGATTTTGATCTTAAGGTTATCTTCAGTTTGCAAATAGTTTTTACGCGGAACCTCAGAAAGCACTGAAAAAAAGCACTGTTTTCCCATATATATCTTTCCCAATATATGTGTGCCACTATGAGAGGAGCCCCGCCTTTTTGGCTGTCCTCTGACTCCTCAGGGGTGGAGCTGTATCATGTCTTTGCTGCCTCACACTGTCCCTTCAACAGCCCTCAAAGGTACACGCAAAGAATCTACTGTTGAGCAAACCATCAAGGTGAAATAACGTGATGCTTAGTGCCACACGCCTGAGGGTTGATGCCACGCTTCTTCAGGCCCAGTTAGCCATCACACTGCTGTGGGCCTTGTAAGCTCAACACACACACACACACACATACTAATAGCACAAAAACCACCAACTGGCAATGCCTGTGGCTCTTACTCGCAGACAAATAGCTTGTGGAAGCTGTGTGCAAGACATCAGCAGTCCTCCCGGTGGCGTTCCATCTAAGATTCATGTGGTGCGTCGAAGAGAAAGGGCAGCCAAAGAGCACCTCCCAGAGGTTTTTCTCCCCGTATAATGTGGTGCCACACCTCTGCGGGGCTCCTCTTACATCCTTTGTCTGTTTCCCATCATGCTGCCGCAGGATCCTCGAAGTTTTACACTGCATCTCTTCAAAAACAATTACATTCGGTGTCTGAACCTCACCCAAAGCACTTCTTCAGGCAAAGTGAGCGAACACTGGAGAATGAAGGTGGATGGGCACGAGTTGGAAACAACCTTCCCTCGCTCACCCATCTGTCTTAAACAACTCGAGGGATACACCAAGGGTGTTCCATCAAAA